AAGCCTCAACTTCTTCATCAGTATAATAACTTAATAATTTCTGACTCATCTACTTCACTTTATAAAGTAGAAAATATAAAATATTATATTTATGGAACTACTTTTAAAAAGTACAAAGGCCTATGCATGTTTAAGTTACTGTTACGTGGTAAATAATTTTATACAGATTTTTTCATATTAGAGTAGAACAAATACATTTTAGGTTTACACATGTTTTATATGGAAGCAAATGAAATTTGCATGAAAGAGACATCCCTCAGTTTTTTTCTAGCCCTAAAATTCTAAATTTACGCTCTCAGAATAATAATTTTAAAGTATTTTTTGTTGTAGTTAAAATTTCTGGTTCACAAGCTCAATAATTTATACCACTCTTCTACTTAATAATTTAGTTTTCAGTCCATAGTCTTAACTCCTGCACGTATTTGGAACTGCCGCCCTCTTGTGGCTCATAGTGGCAATAACATAGTTTGAATTAGAACGCCTAATACAAAGTTTTAACTTTTCCTCCAGATAATCTGTCCCTCAGTAACAAAAATGAATACTTCTTTATTTAATTTTCCACTGACCTCAATTGTTACTCTTACCTCAGACTCAGCGTAGGCGTCAGCATCTTTAGAAACCTCTCCCGACAGCCTGGATAGAGCTCACAGCCTCTTTTCCTGCCCTGTTACTCTCTGTGCACACCTCTCTCTTTTCACTATTCACCTTTGCACCTATGGCATCTGATAGGACCTTGCTCAGTACATCTAGTAAATATGTATTGAATTGAATCTTCTAACCCTTTGCTTTGTTTTGACTGAGTCTTTTGACTCCAACTATTACCTCTTGGTCAAGGTACCTCCGTTTCTGGCTTTTGAAGACTCAGTGGGCTCGGTCCATTTACATATCTGGCCCTGGGCTTTCAGTCTGAATCTTTCTAGATTCTCCCCATTCAGGTTTCCAGTCTGTGAGGGGAATTTTATTTATTTACTTTTGATTGATTGATTGATTTTGTGATGAGAATTTTAAAAAGAAGATGCACATTAGTTGCCAGTGGTGGATAAAGACTGTATGTTCTGTTATTTTTTATTTGAAAATTGTAATTTAGGTCTCAGAAAGTTTAGAATGTGTGTGGACTTTAGATACTAGTCTTATACTTTCATTTCATAGTTGAACTTCAAACTCTGGAAATTAGGTCATTTGTCAAAGAAGATAAGTTAAGGAGATAAATGTATTCTTTCAAATGAATCAACTTGTTTAATGTCATTTTCTTTCAAAATATTGAGGGTTTTTGATATTTGTTATAGGCCGAATTGTGTTTCCCCTAAAATTCATATGTTGAATTCCTAATCCCCAGTATTGGAGAATGTGCCTGAATTTAGAGACAGGGCCTTTAAAGGAGTAATTAAGAAGGAGTGAGGTCCTATGAATGGGACGTAAGGCAATTTGACCAGTGCTCTTATAAGAAGAGGAGATTAGGAAACAGGCAGGCACAGGGAGAAGATCATATAAAGACACCAGAGGAAGACGGCCTTCTTCAAGCCTAGGACAGAGGCCCTCAGAGTAAACTAGCGCTGTCTCCACCTTGCTCTTGAACTTCTAGCCTCCAGAGCTGAGAGGAAATTAACTTCTGTTGTTTAAGTCACCCATTCTGTGATACTTTGTTAAGGCTGCCCAAACAAACTAATATATTATTCCATTCTTTAAATCATCCCTAGGGAGCATAAATGTTGTGAAGGGGAGGAAGAATCTCTCTTGTTCTCCTCAATGGCTTCTATGTATAGTTCTGGAAACAGTCAAATGAGATGTAAAATTAGTTTTGTCCAGCTGTTCCTGATTCCTGTATTTTTCTACTTCTTATAAGTAGTTGGGACATGGTATGTTTCTGATGCCATATTCTATCCCTTATAACAGATTTACAGGGAGGTGGTTCATTTATTGGAAAATTTTATTGAAATTAAGGCCCATATTTTCAGTTCTAATTAGCTTCATTAAGTGGGTTTCTTTTTAAAAGTCATACTAATAATTTAAGCAAAATATAAAAACTGAGTAATATGAATACATGTACTTGAAAGCACATATGTATATATGTCCATATTTACCTAGGACTTAAATATTAATCTAGGTGAGCAGTATTTTGTTTCTTGAGGTTAGCAGAATACCCTAAATAATGCTCCAGTGGCCTAAATTTATTACTGAAAGGTTTCTAATGTAAAACTAGGAAGTAAAATAGGCTTACTAATACCTCTCAGTTTTTATTTGCTTTCTGGGAACATCTAGGTAATACCATGAGATAAATATTCTCAGTTATTATTTCCATAAGCAAATAATTTTTCAGTTTTTCTCTTCAATCATATACTACCTTTTGGTATATGGAGTTTGTTCAATTTCTAAAAGTTATTTTTGGTTACCACCCTTAACTGATAAACTCATCAGTCATAGATTTCCTGGACTTTCTTAATACAATTTAGCTCTTAAATTTACAAATCCTCTTATTGGACAAACCACTTAGAGAGTGTCTACAAGTACAGAGTAGATTATTTTTTAAAAGATTTTTTTATTGATTTTTAGAGAGAGAGGAAAGGAGAGGGAGAGAGAGAGAAACATTAATGTGAGAGTGGAACATCATTTGGTTGCCTTCTGCATCCTCCCCCCGCCGCCCCCTCCCCCCCAATCGGGGATCAATCCTGCAACCTGGGCAAGTGCCTTGACCGGAAATCGAACTGGCAGCCTTTCAATGCATTGTACGAAGCCCAGCCAACTGAGCCACACTGGTCAAGTAGATTCTTAAAAGAACATAACTGGCAAGTTATTGACCTGATCAGGATGATTTCAGATTGAAATTTAAGAGGGAGAGGAAATGGGCTGATAAAACTGTAAAACTAGATGCCATGAAATCATGAAAGGCATTGGTTATAACAGATGAGGGCCAGAAACAACACTATGGCTTCAGATATTCACCTTTCAGTGCAGAGACGTGTGTTAATGTAACCTGACATTTTAATAGAAGAAAACTATAATTTCTAATGATATAAATTATATATAAATGTAATAGATTTTGTATTATCTCTGTAACGTGATGAGAAAGTACCCATGTCTGGAATATAACAAAGGAAGAGTATATTTTACTTGATTAAATCATAACTAAGAGACGATAAAGTACTCTTATATGTCAAGAAATGTACCCCTTGATGGGGTGATGTTGGGGGGTCCTGAGGGATTAAGCAAAAAATGAAAGAGAGAACTCATGGGCATGGACAACAGTGTGCACTTGTGATTGCGGGAGGACGGGGGAGGCAGTGGAGGTGGAAAAGGGCATAGAGGCGATAAATGATGATGAAAAAAATAAATTAAAAAAGGAAGAGCTGCACCCAAAGGAAGTCTTTAAGCCTCATGGTACAAAATGGAAGGCTTTGGGTAAAGAGAAATGGGAGGAGAAGCAGAAATTCTGTCCTGATGGGAGGATTTTACAGTCTACCCAGCTGGGGAGAGGCAAGGACACTGTTAGTCCCTTCAAAATGGTGTATGCATGCCTTTCTCACTTCCGTATGCACCATCCAGCCTTAGAGAGTTCTTTTCATATAATAATTGCTCAAAGATGGCTGTGGAGCCCTGCCCAGGGTGGCTCCGTTGGTTGAGCATCATCCTGTGCACCAAAAAGTTGCTGGTTCGATCCCTGGTTGAAGCACGTGCCCAGGCTGTGGGTTCAGTCCCTTGGTGATTGCATGTTCAAGGCAACTGATCAGTGTTTCTCTCTCTCTCTCTCCCTCTCGCTTCCCTCTCTCTAAAAAACAATAAAAGAGAGGACTCATGGGCATGGACAGCAGTGTGCACTGGTGATTGCAGCGGGGGAGGTGGTGGGTGGAGGTGGAAAAGGGCATAGAGGGGATAAATGGTGATGAAAAAATTAAACTAAATTAAATTAAATTTAATTTAAAAGTGGCTGTTGAGTATTTTGAACTGGCAAAGAAGAATTTTGGCAGGTGTTCTAACCATATAAGTGAACTAGGTTATTTAAAATTCAGAAGAGAAAAAGTTTAGTTCTTTGTCCACAGTATAGTTCATGGGAGTTTGAAACTTCATCCTGACAGTGTAATAATACATTACCTTTATGTCAGAGGAAAGGATTAGATGGCTGCCTAAGTCAAGGTGGGTCTCCGGAGTAAACCAGCGAGTCAGTTCGCATGGAGAAGGACGTACAATTGAAAGGATGGCATGCTTCTAAGAGGCAGAGAACAGGCAAGGCGTGGACCACGGAGCCAGACTGTCAATGTTCGAGTCCCAGCTCCTTGGGCAAGCCCCACAGTCTCTCTTTTCCTGTTTCCTTTTCTATAAACTAGGGGATGCTAGTAGCACCTAAGCATTGGTTTGTCAGGAGAGCAAATGAGTTCACAGAAACATGGGACAGTCTGGCACATAGTCAGCAGCTGTCATTTATATGGTCTTGTTTATTAGAAAGAGGGGAATAGGGGTTGGGAGGAAAACAGGAGATGAAGTAAATGACAAAGTTACAAAAATGATTTTTTTAGGGCAGCCATTAGAATAGAAAGAACATTAAGGCAAGATCTAGCTAGACCTTGAAACCACACTTCCTGTGTGGGTTAGGAGAGAAGAGACTGAGGTGTCTGGAAGAAAAGGCTGGGGACAGAGCATTTAGCGTATCTGATGTGTTTGGGGGGAGGGTATCTCGAGCGAAGCTGAAGTTAGGTAACCGTGCATGGATGAAGACAGGCCTGCTGCTGCGGCAGGAACCCGCGAGCAAGCTTACCTACGGGCTTACGGTGACATTCTCGGTATCGATTTCCCCTGGCTTCTGTCTGTCTGACCCCTTTTATTGCTTTAAGCCTCTTAGCTTCTTTTTCGTCCTATTTTTTCATATGTCAGATGTACGTTATAAGTGATTCCATTCATGTATAATTTTATTGAAATTGACACAGAAATAAAATACTGCTTGTCAGGACATGGTGGTAAAAAGCTGTGGGATTTTAAAACCTCAGGAGTCTCTCATGTTATTCCTCTAGTCTGGCGACAGGAACAACTGGAATACATTAACCGGACTTTCTGTGGCGCTGAGAGGAAAGTTGCTTTGTGCGAACTTCTGGAAAAAGAGACCCAGATCATTGCTTCCATTGGGAGGTACAGACACATCGCTTACTTGGCCAACCAGGAAGCCATCATACAAACTTTTCTGAATAAGGTCAGTGCAGCGACACTTGTTTAAACATCAGTGTACCCTTAGCGTAAAACAAGGTACGCTAGAATTTGCGTGAATTTTGTTTAGCATTTTGGTGACATATTTTTTTAAAATTCTATTTTTACTTTTGATGCATCTTTACATTTTAACTGTAGCCGAGGATAATGACGGACAAGTAACATGAAATTAATGTGTGTTCAACAAAAGGAACTCAACCATGAATAAAAAAAAATGGAGATACTTTCCTTGTGACTGTTCATTGAGATTTAGGCTGGCTATAGGAACTGGATGAATTGCACCCCCTGGTAATATGGAGTATGAAATTCACAAAATATCATTTCTGGTGTGCCCATAGAGTAAACAACCTAGGGAAATAGCTATGGACTAGCATTTTTTCTCTTGCTCACCAGGTCATTAACTGATGGAATATTTCTGACCAAAAAGATTTGAAAACCATGAAAACATACAATTAATGGGAAAACTAAAGTAATTACCCTTTCCTGGTGACATTGTCTGTTTGATACTGAATAGCCTGTTTCCATAGTGACCAATTTTCTTTTATAAACCTGATCTTTGTAAACAATTAAAAGCCAACCAGCTACAGGAAGAAAATGAACGGAGCTCTTCAAGATATTCGCCTGTTGGGAGTCTAGTGATTCTAGTTTGTATGATTCTTGTTTGAGAGCATTTATTCTCAAACAATGTATTTTGTTTTTGATACTATAAATGCCTTCCTCTTATCTTACCTGTACACTCTCCTGTTTGATCTGAGTTTTTTCTTCTGGTCTCAACGACTACCTGAATCCTGGACTTCCCTATAGTTCCAGGCTGGATGTGATAGTAAAAAATGGCCAGACATGTCTAGGGGCTCCCAAGATCACATATCCAATTGCCTACTGTCATTGCTCTTTGGATGTCTCAAGAGTCCACCTCACGTCAACTCTTAAGTCATATCATCTCACCATTCCTTCACCCCTCACCTCCAACCTTATCCTGTTCTGTAGCACACACACCATTTATCTCTGTGAATAGTTCATCATCTACTCATTTGCTTCAGAAAGCATCATTCTTGACATACCATTTAGCCACCAACCTGTTTGTTCTATTATTTTAATAATCTCCTCAATTCTTTACTGCTTCATTTCTAAACCCACTACCACTGCCTGTAAGGAAATAGCTCCTTCATGGCACTCTGATGACTTCCCATGTATCCACATAGGCAAAGAGTAGAACCGCAGCTACTCTGGGTCTTGTGGAACGCCTTGTGGTCTTGCTGGAACACAGAGGGATGGGGGGCATCTGAGGGTATGCTGTGGGCAGCTCCTCTCTCTCGCTGCCCTTTCGCCCCCAGGAGGTTGTCATGAGATGCTTGTCCTGAGTGTGAGCTTGCCCTTGATTTAAATAATTCTGATGTTCTCCTCCTCTGGATTACTCTATGTCCCCAAATTAGGCTCTCGGTGTCATCTCTCTTTGCAATTCCCTCCTCCATTATCCATACGGTTGCCACTACCATAGTGACCTCATAAATACCACTCTGCCCATGCCCCTCCTCACTGCCTCAGGGAACAAAGGTTTTACATTTTTAAATTTGTTTATTTTTATTGATTTCAGAGAGGAAGGGAGAGGGAGAGAGAGATAGAAACACCAAGGATGAGAGAGAATCCTTGATCGGCTGCCTCCAGCACAACCCCTACTGGGGATGGAGCCACAACACGGGCATGTGCCCTTGACCAGAATCAAACCTGGGACCCTTCAGTCCACAGGCTGATGCTTTATCCACTGAGTCAAACCAGCTAGGGCTCAAAGATTTTAATAATGGATTCTCAGCCCACCTCACCCACCCTGTTGTCCCACTGCCATCTCTCCTTGCACACGGAAGCCACACCGCTCCAGCCGTGCTCAGAAATGTGCGCATCCTTGGAAAGATCACGTGCTCTTGATGCTTTGGCATCTAGTGTTGCATCTACTTGGAATATCCTTTCCTTCCTGCTTCCGTAGCCAGCTAACCACCCTTCCAAACAGTCTCAGACACCCCTTGTTCGAGAAAGGATCCTCCTACTGTAGCCTGGACTGTATGCTTTCATGAGACCATTTACTTCTCTCTTAGAACATTGTGGTCAGTTTTTATTATATCTGTTTACATGTCTGCATCCTTCCTAGATTCTGAGCTTCTGAAGGCCAGAGCTATCTTTGTCTCTGTATCCTCACATCTTAGCACAGAGTTTATCACAGAGTATCAATGAATGCTCATGGAGGAAGGCCAGGGGAAATGAGAAACAATCGTTTTATAATTTTATATTTCAGACATTAGAGTGTGTATATATTTCAGATATTATACAATGACATATAGATACTGTAATTTCAAATTTTTAAATATTTTCATTTAGAAAAGACGAGTCTACTATATAGAAGCCATAATATTCATACTTCTCCAGACTCATATTTCAAACAAACTTACTCATTTAGCAGATTGCTTTATGTTGAATCTAGCGTCATCACTGGGAACTGTGTTCCTTAGGTGTCTGATTGTTAACCTCACCAAGGAGGTCAGCATGGACCCAGGGCCCAGAGTGTTTGCAGGTGCCTGAGGCTTCTGAGGTGCCAGTGGGCAGGGAAGATGGGCTGCATCCTCCATAGGGTTTCCCACCTGTGCTCTCTCTGCTCCTTTGTTTACTATAAACTAATTTAAATTCTTCTGTAAATACTTTTACAATATCTATTCTTCTTTATGCCTTTTTACCTTGCTCCTCATCCCTACCCCAGGCCTCATGTCTAGCATCAACTCTAAACATTTTTTGAATTATAAAGAGTCCAAAAGTAGATCAAGTCCCAACATATAATAGCAACTGGAGCCAGTTGAAGAACATAACTTTTTCTCCTGAAATATATCACTCTAAGATAAAGCCTTTAAATCTCTCACACACAAAAAAAGGATAAGATTGGGAAATTTTATTCACAAGAATTTCCATTAAGAAGAAAATGTGTTTTTATTTAAAAATATTTGCTTTTATTGATTTTATTTTATATTTTAAACATGTTATTATTATTTTTTAATCTTTATTGTTGAAAGTATTTCCTATGTCCCCTTTTTCTCCCATTGACCCCTTCTATCCCACCCCTGCTCCCCGGCCCAGGCCTTCACCTCCCTATTGTCTGTGCCCATGGGTTATGCATATATGCATACAAGTTCTTAGATTGATCTCTTCCCACCCACCTACACACCCCTGCCTTCCTTTTATTGATTTTATAGAGAGAGGAATGGAGAGTTTAGAGAGAGAGGAAGAGAGAAAGAAAGAGAGGGAGAGGTGAGAGAAACATTAATCAGTTGCCTCCTGTAAGTGTCACAACCATGGATCAAAGCTGCAACCTGGGCATGGGCCTTGACTGGGAATTGAACCTGCAGCCTTTTTGTGCACAGAGTACACTCAACCAGCTGAGCCACACCTGCCAGGGATCATTTTTGTTT